ATACACTATGATACCATGTTAATTTTCTTCCATTATGATTTTTCTTATAGTATTCTTCAATTTCTGGCATAACATCTTCAATTTGAGCTGGTAATGAGACATTAATTTTTTCGCCACTATGTGGCCACGCAGCAGCATTTAATATTTTAAATGAAAATGAATCCATCATTGTATTATTATTTCGTGATGCTTGATATAATGTTTTAAATTCTTCATTCATATCACGATTTAATTTTAAATCTTTAAACATTTGTTGTAATTTTAAAATAAATTCAGCTGGCATTGAAACATCTCTTAATTGATGTACCATATTTTCTTCTAATTCATTATCAATTGAATTGTCTAAAATTAATCGTCGCGTTAAATTTATTTTATAATAACGCATAAATATATCTTTATTTGTAACATATTTAAGTAATAATAGAACATCTTTAATACGATATTCCACTTCTTCAGATGAAAATTTTTTATTTGAAGCACCTTTTCTTAAAAGAAAATCACAATATTGTGCTAATAATTCTGGACAACGTGATTCAGCTTGTGTTGTACGAACAGCACTAAGATAAAATAATAAAAATGTAAATAATTGAATTCAATATAATCAACAAAAAATTAGTTAAACTCACCCTCGTGTTGTTCTCGTAGGCATATCTAATTGAAATACGGATACATCATTAATTATTTTTTGAAATGCTTTATCTCTTGATGTCAAAAAACGTGGATCATTCAAAAATGCATTTTGTACTAATGATGAAAATTGTCGATAAAGTTCTAATAACTGTTCAACATATTTTTCAGGATCCTAAAAATAGTAGAAAATAAAACGAAAATAAACAATATTTTGAGAATGTATTATATTTGAGATAGACCTGTTTAATGGTGTCTTTATTTTTAATCATAATATCAAGACCTCGTTTTACAATAAAACTTTCTAATGCTAATGTTAATGATGTAATATCTGGTATACGATCGAGCAATATAAATACTAAACGTAACCCTAGAAAATTAAAACAAAATATGTCTAGATCGTGTATAAATATTTTATTTTTTAAATTAAATTATAAATTTTAAAATTTTTACTTTCAATATCGTTATCTTCAATTAGTTTTGGACATTCATTTGTTATTTGTTCTTTAAATTGTGTTACTAATGCATCGACACAACGTTCAAGCAGTAATAATATACTACTACATTCTGGTGATGATTCTAAATAACGTCTGGCACGTTTTTCTTCTTCCTAAAAAGAATAAATATAATATAAAATATGAATAACTATATAATAAATATACAATATTTTTCATACTTTTAACTTTTGATCTGCATATTGTAAATAATTTAATATTCCATTTTCCAATAAATATTCACCAGCTTTTTGTTTATAAAATCGAGTAGCTTCTTCTAAATAAGCTTTTTCAAAATTTTCACGATATATTTTATATTTATCTTTTTCATCTGTCTTTAAATTAACTAAAAATAAACGAAATATGGTGCAATTTTAGAATAAGAATAAATTCGATCATGTTCATCTATAAAGATTTGTGCATTTTGTTCTTTTTAATTTTTCTACAAACATTTTCCACACGTTTAATATCTACTTACCGTATGAATCTCTCACGCCAATGACAAGTTGTGAATCAAAACATTCTCCATTTCTTTCAGCATGTACTAATTTCATGGCACTATTTTGTAATCGATGTTTAATATCTTTAAATATATTGTTATTCCATGATTCAAGCATTAACTTAAAAATATACGACTTTTATAAGAACTAATAATAGGACTAAAATCAAGAGATTTACCTGACGAACTTGATCAATTTTTGTATTTGTTGATGAAGGTGATGGTGTTAAACTAGACGGTGGTTCAACTTTTATGAATGGTTTTGGTAAACTAAAAAAACAAGAAAAAGAACATAACATTCGAAAAAAACTTGATCAATATTTCTTATTACTATTCGCATTGTTCGAAGAATTTTGTCCATTCATGAATATAAGCTTTCAATAGAGCTGCAAAAAAGGAGCAAATCATTTTTCAAAAATGTTCTCTAATTACTGATAAAATATCATACCTGAATCTTCTTCATGACGTAGCACACGCTAAAAATAGAAGTATGTTTTATTGAAATTTGTTGATAGTTATATGTGAATTCTCACTTCTTGGGCTTTCTTGATCTGGATGGTTATCTCGTTCGTTAATTCTGAGTAAATATCGAGTACGGAATTTGGATTCCAACTGCTAACTGTATATACGTCCCTAGAATATATAAAGAGAGTGCATCGATGTATAACAAAAATATCAGTTTTCTCTCCCCTATTCCTTTTCAGAAAAACCTGTTTCTCAAAACATCTTAAGTTTTACTTAAGCGACTTTCTCAAAAATACTTAAGTATAATTTCCTGTTTACTTAAGTGAAAAATTTCACTTAGGTAAAACTTTTTTTGAGAAACAGACTGCACTTAAATTGTTTTGAGAAACAGGTCCCTGTTCTATTAAAATTAGCCATGTTTCAAGTATTTATTGGTTTTTTGTTGTTATTTATGATTATAAGTGTATATTCTATATTCTTGCTGTCATTTTGCTGTTTGCTTTTTAATTTACTTTACATCTTTTTATTTTTACTTTTTTAACTTTTTTACTTATTTTAACTTTTTATTCTTATTCTGTTATTTGTTTGGCAAGGGTCATTGTTTTTGATCTTTGCTGATTT